CTGGATATGGACAGAACCACAGAGATGGGAGGCCAGCAGAGACAAAGTCCAGGGACCCCAAGTCAGAAACCAGGGGCCTCGAGTCCAGTTCAGAAGATGCAGTGATGAATGAATCCTGGAACTGGAGTGATTTGGATCAGATTCTGAGCAGACTGCCTCAGTGGCGAGGGGTGGATGGTCAGCATTTAGCCATGAGATCTCTACCCTGGAGAATCAGCCTGTCAACAGAATTGGGCATCCTCGGCTACGGAGCAAAATCCTATGCCAAGCTCCAAGAAAAAAAAGAGAATGATCGGGTATTTTAGTCTTGGAACAGAACCCATCTGCTGAGGCCCGAGGAAGAAAGGGAATTCAAATTTGGAGTTTAATCCTGGCCATGACAACCAAAGATGGGGATACAGGGTGACATGACCATCCTGAGAGGCTGCTAAGACAGGAACAGACTAGATGGGAAAAAATAAAAATGGAACAGAGAAAAAAGTACTAACGTGAAAGCTAAAAGAGGGTGAAAAGAACAATGATGGAGTGTCATTGGAGGGGGGCTCTGGCTTTAAATAGACAAATTCAGTAATTAGTAGGGAATGGAATAATTGGTAGTTAAAGGCAGATTACCTAAATGAGATCTGGTTTATGCAACAAGCTCTGAAAAACCTCTCTTATTAAGATATCTTTATCATCTTAAAAATATTTATATCAATGTGTGATGTTCAGGGCTTGATTCAAACATTTATAACATAAAGGCTTGATTTCTGCAACTCTTGGCTCTATAGGCCATAATACCCTCCTCAGAAAATTGCAATATGTCCAAAACTCTGCTGCTACACTCACACTAGACCCTGGCAGCCTACAGTATAAATCCTACTCTGAAATCTCTTTGTTGGTCGCTTATAAAGTCACATATTAAATATAAGACCTTGAAACTAAATAATCTGGTTCCATCATACAGTTCTGAATGCCTTCATGTATACACTACTTCCCATAGGCTCTGTTTCAGCTGAGGCTGGACCTTTGCTCATTGTACCTGGGACTAAATGTCAGACTGTTGGTGGCTGTGCTTTTTCTGTCGCTAATCCATTTTTATAGTAAGCCCTTCCAGCAACTCTTCTACAGGAATATTCTTTAACTTTTTAAATCTAAACTTAGACCTTACTGTACATACAGTATGGTATTCACTTGGGCCTGTGTCCATTTGTCTAACAGATTTCTACTTTGTTTATTTTTTTATTTTTATCATCATGTACAGCATCCCATTGTTTGGAAAAACACTTAATAAATAATAGTTATTATTATTAGTCTTTGTAGTAAAATGTCAATCCTCATTTCTTCTCTGTCCTTGTAGTGCCTCCTCTCAACAACTACTTTCAGCCAGGGAGCTTATTATCTGATGTATTTGGAAAACAACAGAAAAGGTATATTAAATTATGAGCTATCCTCATTATTTTCCCTTGAGGTAAACTGTCTATTTTATAATAAAGGAATTAAATGGGAAATGTGTCCATAGTGTGACTGTATGATAAAACTGGCACAGTAACTACTTACAGTATATAGAACTCATCTAACTTATTCAGATATACTATTTATTTTTAGTTCAAATTTGCAGTATTTCATACCTTAGAGGTAATCCATAGGATTAAATGTTTTGAAAGCTAGAATAAAATGATGGTAATTGTATAGATGTTAATTATAATATTAAAGTTATTCTATATGTACACAAAATGTAATATTTAGTTGATTGACAAACTGGAAATTTCAATATGTAAAGAAAACACAGACTGCAAACATGTGACAGAAACAAAAAAAAGAAAGCATATGTAAGAAGTGGGAATATACGTAATATACAGTATACTATATATATATACTGATGGAATAAATAAATGGAATATTATCTGGAATGGTAATACAATAGTATAGCTAATGTACTTTCACAAAAAGTTGTCAATTTGTTTTAAGCACTCTGACCAGCAATACAGCTTGTGCAGTGAGACATTGCAACTTGCCAATCACAAGAAAGCTCGTTAGGTGCATTTTTACCCAAAGAGGTCCAGGTGGAACAATGCCTGATCAGGTCACCTTTAAAAAAGGCCTTAATTCAAAACATAGGTCACTGTAAGAAAAAGGCCACCCTCAGTCAGTTTTCCGTGCATTCCACAATGCTTCGAATGTCACCAGAAGCAAGGGAGAGGGCTATTGGCATGCTGCAGGCAGGCATGTCATGTGCCAGCATTGCCAGAGACTATGGGGTAAGCCGCTCCACTGTGTCCCAACTGCAGAGGTTTCAGCAGACAGGCAGGACAGATGACCGGCCAAGATCCTGTTGTAACAGAAGAAATAAGGTTCTTGATCCCGAGATGAAGTAAAACAGATGAGTTTATTGCATGCAAGGAACAATAAAGCCGAAGTCTTGTTTCCCGCAAGAAACAACAAAACCGAAGTATTGTTCAACG